GGAAAAAAAGCAAACAAGAAGAGTCCATGAGACCAGGGAAAACAAGCCGTTCGGCAGTAAAACAGAGGGAGCAGACTTCACAGAAGAGCACAAGGGGCTTCGCTGCTTTCTCAGAGGGGTTTAAATTCCCTTTGTGGGTCAGCTCCTCCTCACCCCTGGCGTGCAGAACCGGGGTGGGCGCTGCGGCCTGCGCCCAGGAATGGCGCAGCGCTGAGGGACGCGGGGCCTCGGCCCGGCCTTGCCCCCGCGCTGGGGTTTGCTTCATGGCAGGGGCAGGCACAAGAGGGCTGTGGCAACACACGCTGGTGGCCTCCGGCAGACTTTTTAAACCCTAAGTGTACATTAAGACTTTGTTTTGGCCAGACTCTGATTTGGGTGGTTTATTTTTACTACTTTTTAATTACTCTAATTGAAGGGGGAGTATTTCCCTTCGGTTCTGCCATTCAGCTGCTTCACCTCCTCCCAGCCACTGCTCCCTTTTGAGGCTCTGCCTGCAAACACCACCGTTAGTCACATTTTTGTGTTATGCTGAAGGTTGGTTGGGCATTCCCCCTCCCTCTGATTCTGTTGGAAAATAGAGAACAGATGAATTTCATTAACTCCCTTGGCTTGTAGGTTGACACACCCTACTACTCATAAACACAGGGATTAGCTAAGTCCTTCTAATAAACAGAAGAGGGAAAAAAAAAAAAAAAAAGGAAAGAAAAAAAAATGTCCACTATTTGTTTAAGGGATTTTGTGTTTACAAAGGAGAGGGGAACATATGTGAGGAAACCTGCTATTTAGCTCTGGCTGAGAGAGGGTGAAGGTGGCCCAGAGGAGAGAAGGGCACTCCCCTCTGCCACCTGGATTTTAAGACACTCCCTTCTGCGTTAAGGCAGGCCACCACACAGGGTCACCTTCACAACCCTTTACAGACAGGATCTGTATTCTTGTGACTCTTGCAAATACTTAGCTAAAACTTTTTTTTTCTTTTTCTTTTTTTCCTTTTTCTTTTTCTTTTCTTTCTTTTTTTTTTTTCCCTCCTCTGGAAACTACAGCTAGAACCCAGACCTGCACAGTAGTCTCATTAAGTAATTAACTGGATTAAATTCATTGTTTTTTATATGTGCATTCAACAAAAGAGCAAGAAGCAGTTCTGGTAGCTGAAAGGTGGCAAAATGCCTCCATGCTTTCAGAGCACGTGGAAGGGAGCAGGCTTCCAGAATAACTCGAGCAGCGTTCAGCACCTGCTTCGCTAACACAGAACAGGCTTCCAAATCCCCTGCAGATTTTTTGCTCAACATTTGATATCCATTTTTCACATCCAATTATTAATCTGCATACACTGAATTCTTTGTTTTCTACAGATCTGCCTGATTATTTAAGCCCTGGAATAAGAAGGCAGAAAATGAGAGAGAAAATGAAGATCTGATTCCCAGATGGATGCTAAATTTGAGGGGGAGGGAGGGCGCACACAGACTAAGTCATTATAATTCAGGATTTATTTCTTGTACTGCAGCCTTACTAAACAAACATTTGGATCAGAAGAGGCAGAGTAATTTGGGATTTAGTAGTGATTTCCATGAACGACCCTGATTTATTCAAAATTCTCAATGCTAAAGCTTCACTTTTCAAGGTCTTCCCCATCCTCTGTTTTTCAGGACCCTTGGCCTCATTTTACATTTCAACTCTTACAGGAAGAACCATACTTAAACAAATCTATCATTACCAATGCAACATAACAGAATGCCTTTTATTTTAATGCTTTCAGGATATACACACTGTTATAGGTATTCCCCAAAATGTGAAGTCTACATAATAATCTTGGAGATCCATTAATAAAAATACACCTCTATTGATTACCTCAGGTTCTTCTGGCCAGGAGAATAAAATTCTCATGATAATTCTTGTGTAAATCTGTTTTTTCACTAATATATCTGGAATTCTCACAAAATCCCCAAATAAAGCCCACTGCTTTTTAAAAATGTTTTCAATTTTCTGATAAGGAAAGAGATCCTGAAAAGGTCAGAAACAGCACCAGCAGATTAGTAGGTGCTTCCACTGATTGCAACTGGGTTATGCAAAACACATCTCATTTCCTTTGAGCTCTCAAGCCAAGGTTTGAATACAGAGAGTGCGCAAATATAGAAGCACAGCTGCTTTAAGCTTCCTCCGATCCCCACTCATAATGCACAAGTGGTGCTCCTGCACCAAACTGCGCTGCGATCAAAGCCAGCTGATCCTGAGTTTATCAGAATGCTACTGTTCAAACTGCACTTGAGTTTTTACATTTTTCCCTGGTATATTATACGGGGGCCCTTGTAAATCTGATAAAGCGCTGGAGCAGCTATAGCTACTAAGTCTTGCTTATGTTTCCCTTCACAGTGTTTTCTGATGCTCTTGACTGCCTCGTGCGGTCATGGGTGTTGACTGCCACTAACTCAGCTCAACAGGAATTGTTTCTCTTGTACTTTTCCTGTTTCAGTGGCTCTGAGACAGACACACGTAATGCCCTTCACGTGCATATCTCAGAGTGCTTAACATTCATTAAAATCAAATTAAATAGAACATATAATTTTTTAATTATTATTTTTTTTAGATTTGATTTTAACACATGCAACTCAGAACAAAACAGAGGGGAAAAAATACTTGGTTAGCCAGTCTAACTAAGCCTGGCTGACTACAGAGCCAACTTCTTGCACCTCTGTCAGCATGTGGGCTGTGAGCCCCTCTCATCTATACAATGACCGCAGGAGATCTGCCTCTCAGTAAGTTCTGACCTAATAACTGTCATCTGCATTCAACAGAAAAGCGCCCAACAAATTCAGTGTATTTAAGATCAGATCATTAAGGTCCAGTTCAAAGACTGGTGCTTGGAAATTCCCTGGGCACAGGCTACAGAAAACACGCTTATGGTTGTAGTAGCATTAGATCACAGGAGGCTTTAGCAATAAGGTCATCTGCCCCTGACTAGATTGGAGACTTTTCTGATGGAAGCAATGTGAAATGTGCTTTCTCAAGGCTCCATCATGCTCCCACAGCAGCTATCAGGCAATATGCACAGGAGAGGCTGGTTTAGCTGTGCAGTGCTTGTGTACTGTTATACCCCATAGCCTTGTGTGTCTGGTTCACCTTACATGGCAGAGGCAAGGAACAAAGCTGTAAAGCTGTCTTCCTTGAACTCACAAACCTTTCCGAAGCACATCTCTGCACATGGGCAGCTTTCCTCCAGCTGAAGCAGCTCTGCTTATCCATGCTAAACCTGCCATGCAGGAGACCATTTCCTCTTATTTTCTCCCCATAAAAAGTTAAATTATTAAAAAAAGAGAGAGAGAGAAAAAAGAAACATTTTCTTGAGTGGTTACAGGTCACTCTGGATCAGTGAGGTTTAACTTCAGCATGTTGTGATGAAATATTAATACCGAGTCAGTGTGTTTATTTCTTCAAGCGTCTGGAGCCGCTGAGTGTTTATGCCTCGAGATTAGCAGGAAGTGTGTCCATGCATAGCAGCCCCGTACTTAGAAAGTCCGAGATTTCAACATTTGAAGACTGTCCATGGGAAATCAGCTGCATCGGATTTTGTGTCAGTTCTGCTGTGAGACAGAGAGCTGCTCCCAAGGGATTCCAGCCCCATAACGAACCAACAGATTGTCAGCTTAATACTTAAGTGCTAGAAAGGCATGTCTCAGTCCCTGTGTTTCCATCACAAAGTATTTAGACTCATCTGGAGCAAGTAAAATTAGGCCAAAAACTTATCACCAGCACTAGAGATGGTAAGAGGGTCCTGATTTAATCTTTGTGACAGCAAACACCCTCTAGTCAGGCACGGCCTTCTTGATGTTTCAGCACGTAAACATTACCAGTTAAATAATAATAATAATAATAATAATAATAATAATAATAATAATAATAATAATAATAAATAAAGAGAAATTTAGTTCTCCACATTTTGAAGAAAACATACGAAGCCATCACACTCTAAATGGACACTATTTGGTGGGTTATAAAAGACTTCCAAAGCCCTTGCAGGACAGCAGCAGAGCTCATGGAGGTGGGGCCAGGAGAACTGTTTGATCCAGGACACCAAAGGCTGAGCGAGTGCCAGGAAATCCATCGCCTCCCTCAGACCCAGCCTGCTCCAGTTCACTCCATAAACATGCAGGACAGGAAGCCACTTGCCTTTCCCATTCGAAAGGTTACAAGGGTCCTAAAGGAAGGGCATGAGTAGGAGCAAAGGCAAACGTAGAGGAAAAAGGATACTGCAATGTCCTGCCCCAGTTTCACGGTCTGTTTGGAGGCAGATCCACTTCCCCTGTTCCTACAACAAGTGAAAACAGGATCTGTATTTTGGCTGACAGTCTCTCTTATGTGTCACTTAAGCAGGGCCATCTCAGAGTTAGTCTTTTTAGGTAGGTTTTTCTCCAAAGAGATGAGTCACAAAACCAAGGTCCTGGCCCCACAGCAATGTTCAGCCTAGATTTCCGTGTCAACGCTTTCAGTCTGGCACTGACAATTGGTACCAAGCAGCCAGAGCTGCTTGAAAGGAAATGCAAGCTACTAGGCTGATTTGGCTCTGCTGTTTAGGAGGAAATACAGTACAATGCATTGCAGCTTTTTTTGCAGAACAATTTTCCACCAAACGGCATTCCAAGACACCTTTCAGAGCAAAATACAAAATGTTAGCGTGGTGAGAGACACGTTATGAGACACAAGGAATATTTGCACGTGCAGACATCGATCAGCAGATTTATAAAGCAGAAAGCAAAGGGGATGCTGCTGGCAAAGCTGCCAAGGAGATGGTCACGCTGCCAGTGATCAGATGTGACTGAGCAGCCGGAGGGAGGCCAGCACCCCTTGTCATGGGACAGACACACAGAGGAGCTCTCTGAGGAAGGCTGAATTTTCAAAGGGGCTCATTCGCACACAGGGAAGGATGAGGCAGGCTCAGAGCAGCAAAGTCAGACTAACTATTGCTAAGGTTTTTGTTGTTTTGTTTTTTTACCCCCACTTGTGCTCACCTGTGGCTTTCAGACCGTCTGGCTGAGTTCACGTCTGGTGGGTCCCTGCTGAAGCTGTGTCGCAGTTTCATAAAGCACCTGAAGATAACTCCGTGCTCTACCAGTTGCAATCTAATCTGCATATACAGAAATACAGAGGTTTTTAATTCTAGCCCAATTAGAAAAGAAACAAATATTGGATGTTTAAAAGATTGATTATTTCTACCACCTCAAATGCGTGTCAGTAAGGATTCCTTTTTAAAGTACAGTGCCAACCTCTCTGACATTATACATGTACACATTGCTATACATTAACCTGATTTATACTAACAGTACTCAGCTGTGTAAATCTGACAGCAAACAGAGATGCCGCTGTGATCCTACAGAACTGTAACCGCTGGGATAGCACCGTGGCATTCAGCATGGGGGATGGTTCCCCCCTCAGAATAATTCTTTTACACACCTGAAAAAGAGAGAAAGGCAAATAGACATGCCCCTTTAAGAGCCCCTCCAAGAATAAAGGTATGCAGACACCAGCACACCCAAAGATTATCTTTGCTTGACATAAACACTTGCAGTGCAAGGAGTAAGACACATGCACACAAAGAAAAGCCATAAGAGTACTAGAATAAAACGAAAGAAGGAGGCTGCTCCAGGCATTTGACATACATCTTGGCACTTTTAATGAGGAAAAACAAAGACTCAAAGTGCATCCTCAAGAGCCTACGTGCATTTAGGTACATGTGTGCAAGAGGGAGCGAGGGCAGTGACGGTGCTCGGGGGGAGGATGCTGCTCACTGAGGCCCATCAGGTAGCAGTAAATCTCCAGTGCTGGGCACACCCCGCCTGGCTCCTCACGCTACATTAGGCATGTTGTACTCCCTTTGGTTTATGGAGGGTTGTGGTGCTAAATGAGCTAGAACAAGAGCAGCAGTATCAGGGGATTGAGTGACTGTCTCCACCAAACAGCTCCACTAAGTAAGGATTTCTCCATTTGCCTCTCAGGCCTGCACCAGGAAAGGAATCAAACCAGCACCCAGCCCAGCTCCTGCGAGTGATTCCTGCACGCCCCAAGTTCACAGCTCCATATGCTGCCAGCCAGGCTCTGGGGAAGCTGTCATTTATCACTGCTGCCGCTAAGGATGCACTTCTGTCACTTCTTAATTTGTGAGTCCCTGCTCTGCAGAGAAGCACGCGCCTGCAGTTTCTTACCAAATCAGTGGCCTTTTGAATGGACAAGACTCGGAGTAGCTCTCTGGAAAAGGAAATATACGGGCAAGCATGCTTTAAACCCATGGGCTGAGTCTAACCCAGAGCTGCTGCTGCCCTCTGGCATTCTCAGCCCTCCTGGAGCCAGCTTTCATCCTGTCTCTCCCTCGGTATCCTCCAGTTGCCTCTGCCCTTTCAGGATTTTAAATCAATTCACTTTTTTTTTTTTTTTTTTTTTAAAATCGTCTTTAACATGCACGGCTCAAGCCGCAACTGTATTATCTTAATGCCGTAAAAGACTAAGAGCTAGTTTTGCACAAGTGCCTAGGTAAGGAACATAGGTGGGCAAAAATCCAAAACCAAATCATTTGCCAGACATTTAAAACATTCCAAAACATGTTTTCATGTCACACTGGGGCAAAAAATCAAAGTGTTCTAATGGAAAAAAGAACTGAGATGGGATGTTGGAACCCAACCGTCTGTACATTTTGAATATACTGTATGTGGATTCATCGAGTTCCCTCTGTAAACTCAATCTGCAGCTTCAGCCTTTAGTTTTCAGAGCACTTTGCTGCAGGACTCCAGTCCGTCTGATAGCTGCTGACTTCTGACCAGTATCACGAAACCACAACTTTACCAATCAGTCGTCTGCATTTGTGAGCAGATACCTGCTGTGCAAAACCACACACACAGGAAAACTGAATCTGAGCTAGAACTGCAGGATGATCCATGTGATACTAACCACCACATCTCAGAGAAAAAGCCCTTGTGTTACTGGCAACATCCGATCAATGCTTAGCTAGGGATGAAGAGCAGATGGAAAGTCAGCAACTGAGAAAGCCAAAAAATGAGCTTCATTTTCACCACCACTGAACTCCAAGATCCTCACCACCGCATGCAGTTCTAGGTGCCTCAACAGAAAAACACAACAGCACAATTGTAAGCACAGAAGGAAAAGCCCCAAGATTGACATGCAGGAAGGACGAGACAAACTAGCATTTAGGAAACGAGGCAGGACTAAGGAGGGCTTACAACAGAACTCTTAAAAAGCAGAGGTCAGGAACAACTACCAAACCATCAGCCATGTGAGGGATGTTCTTAGGCCACAGTTATCGACTGGATCTAACCCAGCAAGAGCTAGGGGTTACCCAGTGAAAGGCAAACAGAAGGCTTCCAGCTAGAAAGGAAAGGATCTTTTCATCAACATATTGAAACTGGAACTTATTACTAAGCAATGTTCTGAAGTCCAAAACATGTGAGCAATTAAAAAAAATGAATTAGCATTTGACGAGGACAGGTTGGCCCACACAGACAACAACAAGTATTTGCTGGGAGCCTGGGGGGTGCAGCAGGACATGCAAAATCCTCATCTTGCCGCAGGAAGGAAGCATCAATCTTGGATGTCACACACTTTTGCAGCAAAGCTTGGCATAGTGGCATGACCAAAGTGATGAAGTGTACCCTAAAATACCCGTCTGCCTCCCGCAAAGCAGGCAGGCACTCTCAAAGGTGTGAAGAACATCGGCTGCAGGACACCTGCACTTCAGCTGATCACTAAGGGTTTTAAAGCCTGTAACGTCCTGCGCTCCCCTCTTTTTCTAAATATGCCAGGACCTTCCCTTGCTCAGAAAGGCTTTCTGGAGCTGTGTTTGTTGGACACATATCACATGGATCTAGAATGACAAACTGCTAACCAACATCAACGTCATTGTAGACCTTAAAATAAGTTTGTATGCATCAGAATGTGCAATTTTCAGGAATGAAAAATTAGTGTTTGTATTTTAAATGCCTATCCTGACACTGATACCAGATCAGTTCAGCACTGGGAAAGAAAAAGGAAATTCATTTTGTTGCTACCCATACCCTAGTAGCCAGTAAAATTTTAAGAAGCAGTAATCCACAGACCTGGGATGGAGAAAACCATCGCAGAGCATTAGTTCTGGTTTCCTCTTCCCATTCTCACAATGCCATTTGTTCATACAGAAGAAACATTCTCTACAAATATCCAGACACTTACCTTATGGCATACCCTGATGGCCATAATCACCCATATGGAGGGCATTATGACAGCCCACCAGGACAAAAATAAGCGAAATGATTTAGAGGCAATGCTTAGCAGAACATATAGTATCCCACCCTCTCGCTTCCTGACCATCTTGGTAAGAAAGTATTTGCTTGATTGCTTTAAGAAGTTCTTGGCCACACCTCATTTAACTTATTTTCCAGATCAATCAGGTCAAGTCCCTGAAAAATCCCCTCAGGTTGCCTCTTTAAACATTGACTTGTTGCCTTTTAAGCAAACAAAATAGAAGTTTCCTTTTCAGCTGGCATGAGCAGGAGTCCAGATGCAGGGCTCCAACCCAAAAACAGCATTCAGCAAAGGACCCACATACCAAGCAGGATGACTGATTTTTGCCTGCACTTCCCCTCCCCTTTTCTTCCTGCCTTGGGAAATATTTGGGATGCACGAGCAGCCAGCCTTTTTTAGACATTGCCTGCTTCGAGGAAGAAAAGAGTGGGTGAATGGATACAATAGGCCCAGCAAGGAGAGCTGTTTAATCAAAACCAGTCACGAACAAAAGAAAGCCAAGGAGCCCAGGAGGATAATTATATTTCACACATCAATTAACATTCTTTCGCTGCCACTTAAGAAATCCCATTTAATTGCCCTGCCTTAGTCCTGATTGTGTAAGATGTCGTACAGAAGGTGAATTGGCTCCAGCGGAGGGTGCCATGTTACAGAGAGCACACAAAGCTGCATCGGTGGAGTTTGTCCTTTCTGATGCCTTAACCCTGCCTGCGTGGACAGCACTAATGCCTACTTAGCTTTAACAGGATCTCAGGCAGGGATCCAAAATCTAATCTCAGCTACCCTACAGTGCTTAGTGTCAGCTCTTCATGTTCATAGCACAATAGCAGCTAAAGGCTGCAAGAGATCTCTATGAACAGAACTAGACGCTCTGTCCCTGCTAGTCAAAGCCAAGGAAAAGGAAGCAGTCCTCACCTGACGGCAGGGAACTCAGCCCGGCACAGACTGAGCCAGTTTCATTAAGCAAGGTCATGAGAGAAGAGCTAAAAAGTGGCCTCAAATCCCTGAGTCTTACCTTCTTAATATCAGGTATTTTTCCTGCGCTGGGATTTCTAAATACCAAAGAAACAGGAAAGAAAAAAAAAAGCAATCATCATCAATATCAAATCCATTTTTCATTTAAAGAGGAGGGAGTTTGGGAGAAGCACAGTATGCCCAGTGTTTCGTGAACATAAAATACCTTTCTTCCATGTATAGAAACATCAAAAAGAGAAAAAGCTTGAAAGCTAAGCAAACCATTTCTACTGGAAAACCAGTGAAAGAGCTAGCCAAAATATTTTTACGGTTATTTATTGGAACACATTAAAACATTACACGGGTGGCAAGTCAACAAGCATCCTCTGCCGGCCCTCTGGGTCACACCACAGGCATCCTCAGCAGCACAGCAGAGGAACGCTTCCCTAACTGTTCCTCTCATCGCCCAGTACCCCACCTCCTCCTGGGGTAAGATTCTGCAGCTGCTTTTTGTTTGCCTTTTCGGAATTAGAGCACACTTCTCAAAGCCCATTTTGAGCCCCTCTCCCCTGCGCTGCTGTCCCCGTGGCAGCACAGAGCACTGCAGGGCAGGCAGCGCCCCAGCCTGCACCCAGGCATCACCAAAGGACATTTCATGCTTGGTTTGCCATTTCTTTTCCTCCTTCCCCCAGATTCTGCCAAAAAGCACCTTGACCATTTCAGAGCATCTGCAGGGGCACTTCTGCTACTGTAAATGCATCGGTTTGACAGACAGCTACTGCTTCTTCCATATTCTTAACCGGTTACGGCAACACAACTTCCACATTTACAATAAGCCTTCAGCACAGACTGGGTAATATCCGACGTTTAATAAATTCAAAGCAC